TATCTATTTTTTCTTCTGTTGGAAGACCATCAAAATGGAGGATGGATCAAAATAGATACTTTGGAATACTGTCAGAAAATATCTCTGGGTCTGCTCATGTTATTGACCATTTTACCTGTTGTGCATGATTATAAAATTCAGTGTTGACTGATAGTGCTATTATAAGCATTATTTATTATTGCATCAAAATTAACAAAATGACCTTTTTTGCATCTTTATTTTCTGTTTTTTGTCTGTACATTTGACAGCTTTGCTGCCTTGTTTTTTGTTTTGTTTTGTTTTGTTTTTGGTGAATAGCAACATTTATAACATTTATTTATTAGATTTGAAGTAATATATTTTAAGTTTCACAGATTTAGTCCCAAAAAATAAAAAGCACTAAATATTTTATTCACTCGTCATTGCTTTGCTTGAAAATTGATTTAGTTGATTTGCTAAGTAGTACTAACAAAATTGACTTGCAGTAAACATATATGACTGATCAGTATTTATTGTTGAAATTTGTTAAACACGATCAACTTCCTTTACCTAGAATTACCAGTATGTTGTTCCTCTTTTATCAGAGAAATGAGAATTACCGAATACTGTTTTTTCCTATTTTCAGTATGACGATACAATTGTTGGCAGGACTGCTATAGTAGCCATAACTGGAATTTTTCTTCTAGTTGGACTTGGAGCCTATGCTGTTTTTGACGTCATGGAACCTATTTATGCAAAGCCATTGAAAAAGCACTAAAAACAGATAAATACATCATCATTTATTCACGTGTCATGTGTATGAAACACCCAGCCCTACAGGCTTATAAGAGGCCTGTTGTAAACAATTTTTCCTGTCTTTAAGCTCTGGAGCATATCCCAGAATGTAAGTCTTTGTTGTTCAGTAGCAGGAAAGGAGTTGGGACAATTAAAGCAAATTGTGTTAAAAGCAAAACCAACTTAGATTCTTGTTGATAATGATGACACTTACTGCAGTCCCAGTTGAAGTGGTGTTACAGTAAAACACAGTTACAGTGGTGACATACACCCTGTATCTTATGGAATTTGGACCACTGTATTGAATTTGTGGTGGTTGCAATGTTGTAATTGGTTTTGAAGGTGTCTTGTACAGTAGCATAACAAGGCTGTTGCATTAAGGTAGTGTTGATAATTGTAAATAAAACTTTTTATAAAAGCATTGTCTGTTTCATTTCTTGTAATTTTGTAGGTGTTTGTGTGTATTTACAGTCAGCACATAAATGCCAGATGTTGAATATTCCAAATTAAATCTAAATTCTGAAAAAGATAGGAGAAACTGATTCTGGGGTATAAAACATATGCTTTACTTAAATTTGGTAGGCACTTTTTAAACTAGAAATATTATATTGCCTTGAAGAAAAATTATAGTTGCTTGTACTGGCCTGAATGTGTGATTACCAAAGACCTTTACTGATTTCACATAAGTAGTAAAGTAATTTAATGTGGATTGTGATACTATTTTGCAATACTTGAGAGTACATATAAAATGTTTAAGAAATGAAAAGAAAAAAAAAACTTAATGAACAAATCTATGATGTGTCAAGGCAATGTTAAGAGTTTTTTGGCGTAATTTTGACGTTTACCACGTTTGATACCATGCCCCCTCAAATTCTCATCATCTACATTCATGTTTTTCTGACTTAATGAAGAGATAGCCAACTACTTTAACTGATGAAAACTTCACTCATATATCAAGTTTTATGAGGAACACGTTAGATGTGTCATTTTACTCCACTGTATTTGAACCGCATGTACTGTACTGTAGGACTCGTAGCTTTGATTAATGAATACAGGTACATGTACCTGAGTTTCAGTACATTTGGTTTAACGTGTCCTGGACTTGAAAAATCAATTTTTTTAAAAAACAAGAAAAGAAAGGCTAATAGAAAATAATTAACAGACCAAGACAACTGTAAGTTGCAAGTTTTTTCTATGGCATATCTTGCTTCTGTGTATTCTCAAGAGGCTTTGCCACGCCCCCATTAATTTTTCTCCTTTTACGTACTTTAAATGGAACTTCGTATTTTTATCATTCTTAGTATTTCTTTTATTCTTATCAGTTTATTCTTATTCTTATCAGTTACCATCACGCTAATTATCATCACAATAAGAGCAGCTTCTTACTAATATTACGACAATAATAGGTATTACGACATCAAAAAATGTCAGTGGGTACTAAAAGTCAAAGATGGCCGACGAAGGGGAGAACGAAGTCTATTCACAAGACATAATGGTGGATAGCAAAGAGGAGGGAGAAGCATTACCAAAGAGTGAACCTAAGGTAAAAGAACCATGTGACATTGTATTCAATTAGTACAAGTAAATCTAATTATGATTCGTAGGGAGTGGATACCAGTCTATGGATTCACCAGGGTCAAACAAACACATATTCAAAGTCAGACTTCGCAATTATTTTGAATCCCAATATATTCAGCTTTTTTTGAAAAATTGACAGTGAAAAGGAGCCTTATGAAATGTGTGTAATTAATGACAGAAAGTTGTTAGGGTTATAGGCATATGGCAATTCTCCTTTAATTTTTATAGAAAAACTTACTAAAATGGATGGAGATCACATTGTCAGAACCCGAGAGGCGTGTTGGGATCTCCATGAAGATGCAGGAGACATACATGGTCTATCTGATAGAGACAAAGTGAGGAATTTGATGTTATTTCAAATGGCTACTGTTATTACCGTTTATTTATTTATTTATTTATTTATTTATTTATTATTTCAATTCTACAGTAAAAGTATGGTCTTTTTAATTAGTTTAGAATGTATGATTTTATCAGTGTTTTTATTTTTAACAGTACTTAAAAAACACTTCCAAGGTGGAGATTTGAGGAGCATTATTTGTATTTTCAATTTTTTATAATAAGATTATGTTTGTTTTATAAGCATATTCACAAAAATCCTTGCAATCTTATATTGGTCTGAGTGTTTTATTGTTTATGTTTGGTCTCCATGTCTTATTTTCTAGAATAACTGATGAAACAGTAGAAGGTTATGGTGATCCACCTACTTCTATATGGAGAAGATACAGTGAATTTGAAATGCTGAGAAACTACTTAGAAGTCATGTACCCTTTTGTGGTTGTGCCTCCTCTACCAGAAAAGAAGGTAAACTTTGCTTATTTAATTATATAGAAAGGAACGCTTTTTTTAGTTTTCAACATGAGTCATTATGGTTATTATTCTTGACCAGTCCATCCAGGTCATTTACTTAGTGAAAGGTTGGGACCGTAATGTTGGTCAGTTGCTAACATAAGTTTTCAGTCTCGGAGTTATATATACTTCTCATTATTGTTCCTCTTGAATCTTTGATGAGTGTATGGTGCATGTGTATGGTTGCATGTGCAAACACACAAGCATATATGCATTTAGACATATGCACTTGAACTGAGTTGGGTATTTTCGTAAAGATTGCTTGAAATTGATTGAAAAGAAAGAAATAATAATCAGATTAAAATGTCTTTTTTTTTTCAGGCCACATTCACTTGGCAGAAGTCAACTACAGATAAATTTGATCCAGAATTTATTGAGAGGAGAAGAGTCGGCTTAGAGGTAAGACATCCACTTACAGTGATCATTCTCATATGCATATGTAAAGTTAATGATTTCAAAAACTGCTTATCAAAAATTGATAAAGATGGAATTCTTCATATAAAGGAAGACATTGCAACTTCAGTATTTCTGAGAAAAAAAGAACAGATTTATACTGCTTATTTATTATTATTAAGTGTTTCATGTTTTTCTTTCAGAATTTTGTTTTAAGAGTAGCATCTCACCCATTAATGTCTCAAGATGAATTATTCAGGGATTTTCTCAAACAGGTCTGTCACATTTCACAAAATCATAATAATATAACCTTATCCAAATTCTTTCCTAAAAGTAATTATTATTGATATACAAATTTACAAGTACAGTTTTTGGGGATAATGTGTTGTAAAGAAATAGTTCTTATAATCAATGTGATTCCAGTTCGTTTCTGCCTATCTCCACTTCCAGCCTACAGTTAAATTGTTATTCATTGTACTCTTGGAAAAAAATCAGATCTGTAGAGTAGATAATTTTCATTTTTTCTTCAGTTAGCCAAACAATTCTAGCTTATTGAGATACCATAAATTCAGTTATACGTATGAATGTAACTGACTTCCCTATTGATCATATGCCTTATGAGAATAGTTCCCCTCTTATATCATTATGTGTTGATTGTTCTAGGAAGAGGGGTGGAGAGAAAAACTAATTGAAACTGGATACCAAGCAAAGGTATGGTTTTATTTTTTAGTCAAATTGCTGAGAGTTTAGGGTAAGCTACTTGTTGACTTTATCTTTAAAATGAAAATTGTGCTTTCCAATTAGTAATACATATAAATGGATTATTATTTAGCATTATTATAATCATATTTGTAATTTAGGGTGATTCAAAACTGCGAACATTGAGTGCTTCCTATAGAATTAAGAAGCCAGACTCCAGGTTTGAAGAAATGAAGAGTTACAGCAATGAGTTGCAGTCTCACATTGGAAATGTACTGAAAATTAGAGCTGTAAGTTTCTCTCTCTCATTCTCTCTCTCTCTCTCTCTCTCTCACACACACACACACACACACTGTTCATTTACGTTTCTTTATCTGTCTGAAATAGGAAAGATAGCTTCATATCTGTATCATGTGCATACATCCACATCATCGTGTTAAAAAACTTTATGCTTTTCATTTTAGAAAGTGCCAGACTACACATTTTGAAAATCAGATTATAATATGTAACCACTTTCTGTCAGTATAGGTTTATGTTTTGGTTTTTTGTTTCATTTAGAAATTATGTGACAGGCTGTATGCATATCACAAAGTTAATGCCAACTATGGCCGTGTCTTCAGTGAGTGGAGTGCTCTGGAGAAAGAAATGGCAGATGGTTTACAAAGTGCTGGACATTTTGTTGACGTGTAAGTGTTATTTAGAACAATCTAATTCTGGGGTAGCACTAGCAATTTTTTTTTTTTTTTTTTTTTTTTTTTTGCTTAGCCAAATCACCACATTTTTGTCAGTTTCTTATCAAAATGGTTATAATTTGGCTAAAACAAGTAAAATCAGGCCCTTTTTTCTTTAGCCAATTTAAGTCAGTTTTAGCATTTGGCTAAATTGGTGAGTGTTAGCGCTACCCCAGTAATTTTTTCTGTGTCCTTTTTCTCCCATGTCCAGTCCAGTGTTTTTGAGAGCAAAATAGCATTTGTTACTGGATTGAGAGAATGTTGCATTGCCACATTACAGAACTTGCAATACTGCATGAAACCAGTTTCTCTGGCAGTTAAATAAGATGTGCTGTGCCCAGGGCCTCTCTTTGCCCAGGCCTGTAGATGGATACCAAATGTTTATCCTTTCCATGGAGTGTAAGATCTTTCATTTGCTTCATGCAACAGAAACAAGGGACAACCAGCAGATTTCCCACTTTTTGGGAGCTAAAAATATCATTGGCCTAGATGGCCCCCATTTTTTCCAACTTTTTCACTAAGTGGCAGTCTCATCCCTGCAAACCTTTTAAAAGAATTTTGCCTCTTATTTTCAGGTATGCTTCATCCATAGATGCTCTGTTAGAGGATGAAGAACAGTTTGCAGATCAACTGAAGGAGTATTATGCTTTCTGTGATGCTGTAAGGAATGTCTGCAGGAGACAAGAGCTTGCTCAACTCAACATGGAGAAAGCCGAGGAAAACTTAACTTATAAAAGGAACCAGAGGGACCAGCTGGTAGGTGTTATCTTATTGGGGTGGGTGGGGGGTTGGGTATTTGATTACATTGTGAGAATTGATAAGCACAAAGATAAAAAACATTACAATTTAATTTATCTGTTTTATGATTATATAACGGGATAAAACTTTTGGTAAAAAATAGAAAGCTAACACTTCGCTTTACTGTAACTTCTGTTGAAGAAGTCAGTCTGATATCTAACAAACTTTTATCAAATTACAAACTAATCCATGTGGAACTTATGAGTACATTTTATTTTTCGTTTACCAGGCAGAAGGCAAGACATCAGGTTTGTCGTTGACTGGACTGAAGAGCAAGCTGTTTGGAGGAGACACGGCAGAGCAGAGAGAAGAGAAGCTGAAAGTTCTGGATGAACAGATCAAAGAAGCAGAGGCACAGGTCAAGACACAGACAGAGGAGGCAAGGTATGGCAACCAGTTCTTTCATCATTCCTTTTACTGATAGTAGAATTTGTTAAGCATGCCCTAGATAAGATTTATCATCATTCTTCTTTTTTTTTTTTTTTTTTTTTTTTTTTTTTTTTTTTTTTGGGGGGGGGTATTCTCAGGTACAAAAATGCTCAACAAGAGATCAATGTTTATTAAGTTACCTAAATATGTTAACCAAAAAAGAAATGATTAGAAATCAAAATATGTAAGACTTACAACATTTCCTGGAGATTTTTAAAAATATTTGGCTATATTAAGGTTAAATACCCATTGTTTTATTTGCAGAGAATTTGTTAAAGATGCACTGCAGGATTTGGAGCGGTTCCAGAGACAGAAGGTCAAGGACTTGAAGGAGAGTTTCACCAATTATGCCTTATTTCAGATTGAAAGATGTAAAAAGGTAAATTTTAAATTATAATCAAAATTGAATTGTAAAAAAAAATAATAATAATTTCCTGGCTTTGTGCGAAATGAAATGATTCAACCTCTTCTTGTCATCCTACCATCTCTCACTAATCTCTCTCTCTCTCTCCTATAAGTTTCATCTTGAGTAATGATAAAAGCCATGTGCTTGTATCTTTATAAAGTGAACGTATTGATGAGGTGCCATTTTATATTTTAGGGCATAGAAGTATGGCAGAAAACAAGAGAGTGTTTCGAGAAGATGTGAATCACCAACCACTGTCATTTATTAAGCTATGTTTGATGATGAGATTGGACCAGTGAAATATCCAAAGACCATTCCCATAGCTTATATATTAGTTTATTGTCGGGATGCAAGGCAGTTGTGTGGAATAGACTCATTGTGTCTTTTATTTATTTATTTATTTATTTATTTATTTTTTGTGGAGTCATGACATACAGATGTGAACTGTGTCTACCACCTTAATGGTGTGATGCACTTGAATGAGTGGACAGATATGATTATGGAGATACTATTTACACATTCCCTTGCCACAAGGTTAACTGTAAAAAGGTGACATTTGCCAGTTCTTAATGCCATGCAAAAAAATTTTTTTTTTCTGTATTTGTAAATCACTTTATATTACAATAATTGTATTTTGATTTGGATAGAGAAGGATGCTCAGAAGAAGAGAGTGCAGTAAATTGGATTTGTTCATATATGGAGAATATTTATGGTATTATTCAATCTTGAATAATAAATGTATGTGTAGTTAAGAAATGTTAAAAAAAGTGTAAAGAAAAGGGAAGGAGGTATATTTATTGTTTAAAAGGGGGTCACTAACGATAATGACTCTATTTTTTTCAATGGGCAAAAATTACAATCATTCAGATACATAATTTTGAAATCATAGATATTTTATTTCTATGTATAGTTTTCGTGGTGATTTTATGGTATGGAATAGCTCAGAAGGGCAGCCTGCTTTTCAGAATTGTTGCTACCACTCAATAGGTATGTTCTTATTTAAAGAATTTGACTTGAAGAAATACAACATCTGAAATATTCGCAATTTTTTCCATGGAAAACATCGAGTTATTACCGTAATGAGAACAAAATTTGCCAGTTTTGGAACGTGCAATCATGTAGAGATGTCTTACTGTAAATAAAACATCGGTGTTTTAATCACTGCGTGTTAAGTTTTGTGCTCACTTTTGTTTGATTTCTTTTAGAAAAGAACACTTGTTCTTCGATACCTTTGACGTCATGCATGGATAGCTTATTTTTAAGCTTAAAAGAACAGCCTAGCTAGAGATCGTTCAAGGACGTAGGCTTAGGGATTATTGCTGGGTGGCTGGAGGACCGGTGTAACGAAACGGTCTGTGTAACAAAAAGTCCGCTCTCCATTTAGTTAATTATAGTTAGGGTTAGCCTGACCTAAGTGGGTCAAAATATAGGGTGCAGCTTCCCTGTACAAATGAATGGAAGCGGACTTTCTATCATGGGGGACCCTCTATAACGTTAAACCGTGCCTGCTTTACAAGTGGGTTTTCTATATCACCTGTGGTACTCGTCTACACGCTGATTGAAGAAGAACTTTTATGATAATAAAAGCGACTTCCGAAGGACAGAGAAACAAGGAAAAAAAAGGCTGACATATTATATAGATCTCAACAAATAATTTTCTTTTTCAAAAAAAGTTGCCCAACTCACCTCACAACCCCGTACTTGGAAACTTTTACCGTAAAGAGTTACCACGTGCCTCCACCCCCTCCTCCCCTCCGGCTCCACCCTTTTTAGACGGGTGGCATGCGCATATTTGTAATTCTTAATTGCGTTTTAAATATCTTTTAAAACAAGATCTTCCAAGATTTTATATTTGCAGCCTGTTCCGTATGTTCCTGCTAACTAATTAATGAAAATATATTCGTGATGCTCTCATAAAAAAGTTTCTTTAAGTTTTCATTGCCCGGGAAATTATAAATTGAAATTGCATAACTTGATATTTATTACATTTTATTGTCGCATAAACATGTTTAACGTAAATAGGAATACATCAATAAAAAAAGGAAAAATGTAGGCTATATTTTCTTGGATAAACAATATCGTTCGAACATCAATAAATTAATACATAAATGTGACCCGGATACATCTAATTGTTAATTAGAGCACGTCTAAAGCCCTAGTGCAGCTTTCACCAATATCACTATCAAATAAAAGCCTATATGCTGCTTCTTACAGATCTTATCGTTTTCTGAGTTCTTAGAATGCAAGTTTAAGTGTCCAGTCGCTGACAGCGCAGGTTTTGTGAGGTAGATTTTTTAAGAGCATTATAACAAGACTAACTGTCTTATTGAACCTACTGAAGTTGATGTTTGTCGTCCTTTTTACCTTGTCATAGTCTTAGGTTCAGATTTGGAACGGTTTCTTCCACAGATCTTTTACATAGATCACTCATTGTCCATAGGACTGTAGGCCTATTTACTTATTTGTTTTACAATATTTTCTGAGTGATCTTCATCAAACTTGGGTAGCTTTATCTTGGATATTTGCAAAACGGATTGGTCATGGCGGGCCCGCTTTATTTCTTTGGTGTGACCCCCTCATCTGCCTTAAGTGGTCCTGGGTTTTATGGCGGGCCCGCCTTATTTCTTAGGTGTGACCCCCTCATCTTCCATCACTGGTTCTGGTTTTTGTATTTTCCCACTAAACTTTACATTTACAAGGACCCGTGTGTCTACACTGATCTGCATTGATGGCCTTGTCTCCTGGCTTAAACTGATTATGTACGTGGGGGTTCCTCATATTGTTCGCAAAGGAGTGATTCACCTCGCGGTGGGTGGTCTCGTCTGCTCGAAGGTTGAGAACGACGTCACGCATTACGGCATTGGGCTGATAATAATAATAATAATAATAATAATAATAATAATAATAATAATAATAATAATAATTCTCAATGAGCAGGCCTAATGATTAAAGTAAAAAGGGCAGTTGTAATAGCATTTTTAAGGAAACAAAACTGCTGGAGGAAATAAATTAGGCATACCGGTATAATATAAACATTATTCCACCGGCGCTATAGGCTATTGTGGCTGTCTGCTGGACATGCAAATTATATTACATGATAATTAAGGCTGACCATAAATCAAAATGAAGACTTACACTCATATTCCAGTACTTGATGGCTATGGGTGGAGCAGGTTTTATGTTCCATTCTGTTAAACAACCTGCGTCTATGTCCTGAAAGAAATTAAAATCATCTTCATTAATTCTCTCTCTCTCTCCACTCTCTCTCGTGAATATTGATTCAAACCAACGAAATATTTTTAAAATATCAAGAAGGAAATGTTATGTTTTAATACGACCAGCTACATCTCTGACAACTGAAACGATTGACCTCAAATCGATTTTTTTTTCGCTGAAATATCATTACGTCATCCACAAGGAAAGTAGGTAACTTTGAGGAAAATAAAAATTTCCAATATTGTAGTCTCATATGTCAACAATAATTTATACGTGATGACATCTTTCTCCCAGCTGCATCTTTAGACCCTGCTTACCCGCAAACACTTTGTATAGGTCTTCACCGCCTCCTCCTCGAGGTATCCGACCAGACGATGGCAATAACGAGGACTGATCAAGTAACTTATTGCAAAGAATACCAGGAATCCGCCTGCAAGGCAAAACGACAAAACGACTCAATTTTAAATTCATTATACAACCAAACTCACAAAGATATGCTAAAAAGAGATAATTTCATAAAAAATAATAATGCCTAAACTGAATGTCTTTGTTGTTCATGGTAATATCTTCATGGTAACGTGTTAGTAGTTGATGTTCATGGTAATGTAATCAGGGAAATGTGTTCATGGTAATAACTTCATTGTATTCTGTTCATGGAAACATGTTCATGGCAATATCTTCACGGTATTCTCTTCATGGTGATGTAAGGTTGGTTTCAGTTTCCTACCTTGCGCTCCAATGACACCCAGTCTGAAGGGCAGTCCTGGCTGCCTTAGTTGTATGGCTGTCATGAGGTGCATTCTCTCGTTTTCTGCTTCCTCTACAATATGAGAAGTAATAAAAGATATATTGATAAATGTATCTAGGAGCGCATTCAGAACAATGGACTTACAGATCCGCAGATCAAACATGACGACCCATTTAAAAGCTTGCCGCTTAATGCACGATGAGACACTGAATAGATTCCCCCGCGGGGAAAAAAAGCATTCAAGTGGGTCGGCCATATTTGATCCGCGGATCTATTAGGCTTCGTTCACATGCAATGTCTATTTTCTATTTTCTATTTTCTATTTTCGGTATGTCTTATGATCACGGTCTGTGCACTGAATATCCCGCCGCGTAATTACTGGCAGCGCGAGCCAGTTACTTATAGTAACTTATAGTAACTGGCTCGCGCTGCCAGTAATTACGCCGCGGGATATTCAGTGCACAGACCGTGATCATAAGACATACCGAAAATAGAAAATAGAAAATAGACATTGCATGTGAACGAAGCCTTAGTGTTCAGTTCTGAATGCGTGCTACGGTATCCCGAAAAGTGTGTTTCTATCAAACCAGATCTGATTTTGATTGCAAATGTGCTAAATTAGATTAATTAATTAAAAATTAAAATACTGAATTAGATATTCAGGAAAACAAACTCAGGCCTGGAAATGCCTTTATAATATGTTATACACCACATTATTCAAAAAGCACGTGTTATACCTATTAATGTGTGTATCCAACCGTGATCTGGAAGCATTTTTCTTAGAGATCTCAGATGTCTGACCATGGCTGCCACCATTCCTGGAACTCCAGCTACGGTTTCCAGGAACATAATACGGCTATAAAGATGAAAGTGCAACGTACAATAGGGTCAAAGGGTCAAGAAACTATATCTTGATTTATCGGCTTATCATTAAAATTTTTAAATTAAGGCATACAAAGGAACTATGATTTTTGATGACACCCACTAAGTAAGAGAAGTCCCCTTTCACGAATATCCTTACTCTTCATCGAATTTACCAAAATTTTGTGGCGCATTTTAAATATTTCCATTTTTATGTGTACAAAATGTATTAAATGGGAAAGGTTATCAAAATATAAAATATACAAGTGGTCAAAATAATTATCTTGCGAATTATTCACAATTATATGCAGCTTGTGATTATCAGCTGATCGTTATCCGTAATCCTTGTTTCCAAAAGAGACCGTTTTTAGTCTTCCTCCCCTCAAAAAGAAAAAGAGACGAAATATTTTGTTGTCTTTTTTTTTTTTTTTTTTTTTTTTGTCATACCTCGCAAATCAAGTAATGTAACCCTATAAGTATTAAAGTATACTAACTTGACCCATTTGTGTTCAGTTCTGGATCGGTTGAACCCTGTGACAAAATCAAATGCTCCTCTGATACCTTGAATGGTGTAATACGCAAACTAAATAAAGAAGAACAACAGACTATAGGAACAAAAATATTATCTAGATTAATCGGCTCATTATTAATTTTTTTTTCGAAATTAAGTCATATAACATAAAAGCTGGTGGGGCTGACGAACTGACAAATAACTTAAACTGTCGATCTTTGTTTCGACAAATTTTAAAGAGATAATACCAGAAACTCAATTATGATTATCATAAGGGTCCTAAAATCAAACGTAAGTAACTGCGAAAACACTACAATTGCACTTACATAATCTGTGATACACTCCGGTATATGATGAGAAATTTCTACAGACTTCAGCTCTTTTTCGGTCCTGCAACAATACCAAGTTGAATCAGTCATTTTTTTTTCTTTAAAATATTATAGTTTTAGGTGAACGATAAAACGAAAGGGAGTATTTATTCAAGAAAGTGAATTTAGCGGTGTACTTGAAGGTGCAACATTTAACACTGTGTCACATTTAACAGAGGTGAGATTAATTTAAGTGAGATTAAAAAAATATTTGGAAAATACTCGCCGTGTCGAGATCGTTACACATTATTAAAAGTCTTACCAATCTCAGTTAATGCTCACCAATATTTGGAAAATACTCGCCGTGTCGAGATCGTTACACATTATTAAAAGTCTTACCAATCTCAGTTAATGCTCACCAGACAGGGTGCGGTAGAAGGTAGTCGTCTCCGGACGTGTGTTTGCCTGCTTTCTCGTCAGCTTCACGGTACTCTTTCATCCTAGAAATTATTACATGTAAATCACAAATAAATAACAATAAAATATAAAATTGAATGAACATATAATAAAATAATTAAATTTACAGCATGGAAGGACATGAATACGGTCAGACAATCGGCGAACAAACAGAAGCATAGATGGACTCAGTAATTAATTTGAATAAAAAAGAACTGACAAAGGTAACAAATATGTAGCTTTATAATATACGGCCGTTAATTTTCCCAATAGACTTTCCAGCCTTTTTAAGCCAAATCGATAAATGGCATGCATCCATCATAGGACCAAATCACGTCACACAGGGTGTTAACTCTCCAAATGACCTCCGAATGACAAATCAATAAATATCATCATCCATAAATTACTCCACGCAAACGTGATGGGAGTTCTTCTGAAAGTCCTTGAACAAAAGCACATCACGTGACATCGCCTTTTCGTAGAAGTACATGGTGCCCCGAAGTTCATAAAATGTGTCACGTGATGTATATGTTCAAGAGAGGCCAAATGTCTCTCTTTAATCCTAAAAAATGCGAGCAAGCATTGCATTATTTGTCCATTTTGAATTCTGATTCCACTACATGTGATCGGGTGAAGAATGATTGATGCGGTTTCATTAATGCTATCTTTATATCTCCTCACCGAAAATGTTCGTAGTCTTCTCTCTTCGACCGTTCTTTGGCTTCAGCAATAATTGCGCTGACAGCAGGGCGGGGTTGGGTATAACAAATCTGAAAGACCAATGTAACTTTTAGACAAATTTTAGTGCTTTTTTAAGCCATCTGCTGAATTTGTATTTCTGAGTTCTGATGGCACATGTAACTGAATTCATTCATACGGGGCGTAATCAAAAAATCTCTCCAAATGTTTTACCTTTGCACATTCTTACTGAAAGTTTTAATAATAATTTATCCTTAGATGTTCAGGAAAATACAAAAATCATTGTTATATAGATTTGTGTGTGTGTGTTTTTTTTTTCGAAAATCCAGGTTAAAAAATGATATAATATTTTTAATCGCCTTCGGATATAGCTATATTTTTCACGTTTTTCACGCAACAAGTTGAAAAAAATGCGTTACAAATTTACAATAAATATCTACGTCTATATTTCTGTTTTATTTATTTTTTAATTTAGGTGCACACAAAAAATTCTGATTACTGTTTCCTTGCGTTTTCAGGTTTTTGTTTTTCAAAAAACGAGGGCTTATAGATGGTCATTGTTTGAAAATATTCGAAAATAGTGAAAGTGCACTTAGTGATTGAATTTCTAGAAAATAAAATGCTCCATAAAGAGCACATTTGCACTTACTGCCTTTTAAAAAATAACACAAAGAACAAACCTACCTGTCTGGCATGTATGGTAGAGACGACGGGTGTTATTCTCTGCATTTCCATCACAAGTCTTAGCCTGCAGTGTAGGCACCCTGTGCGACAAGTGCCTGCCAACTGTCGAAATCCCCTTGCAGCCATGCTGTTTCGTAAGAGACGAAAGCCGAAATAAAAATCCACTCTCTCAATTCACTTAGACTGATCTGGCTGACGCTTGACCTGACCATCTGACGCAAGGCTTTTATATACGCTAGGCCCGGGGAAACGCACTCCTCGGGGACATAACCTACGCGATGAGCAACACGTTTGGATGCCGCGATGATACCTTGATCGGTTGCGCATGCGCACCAGTAAAACCACGTCAAGTTTGTGCCAAGAACGTGCTCAGGCCTTGCTAAGTACCTTTGCACTCTTAATGTCCATTTGGAATGAGGCGTTAACTGCAACATAAATCTTAACTGTAGCAAAAAAAAAAAAAAAGGCCTTTGACCTTGCCAGAAGAGATATAGCTGCTTTGTATGACATGTCTAGCATGTTCCACATAAAATCAATTGTAAAGTCTAAATTACGTTTAAACATTTAACGACACATAATCATTGATGTGGAACAGCTTACGATGGCTGCCGAATTCATTTCGGCAAAGTCAGTTTATTGAATATCTAATCATACAAATTTAATTATGCCAGTTTGGTTTTGGAAAAAATGTTATTATATTTTTTTGGCTATGCTAAAACAATAATAATAATAATAATAAATTAATAATAATAATAATAATAATAATAATAATAATAATAATAATAATAATAATAATACTGTATTCTTTAAAACTGCGCGCCACACAAACGACTCAAGGCTGCTTACAAATGTCATCACGTCACACATCTAAAACGAATAAAAAGAAATATACAGTACATGTAATTAAGAGACGCGAATTTATGACAGTGTTCTTTTAACACATCGTGCTAACGATTACTTTGTTTATACCGTCTTAATAATCAGTGAAGAATAAATACTAGAGCATTTGCAATGAGTATTCTTGAAAAAAAAATAACTGGATATTTAAATGTTATTGGTATTCTATATATCTTAATGCAAATGTTATTCTATACATAAAATGTGCAGGTGGTGAACCACCTTATGATATAGTGATATATGGCTCTGCATTCCAAAGCGTGTGGGTAATATCCATAAAATACCTCTGCGGTTAGGATAATGTACTTACAATGCGCATGGGACCTGATGTGAAATTGCCAGCCAATCATCAGGCTGCATATCAAACACACCTCAATAATCCACCATGTTGCTAGGCAACGGAGGACTCTGTAATGCCGAACGGAAATGACGTCTGCGCTTGCGTCATGCAGAAGTTACGAGAATGCTTTCATTTTTAGTATTTAAATAATATATCATTGCCGTTGACGTGTATGTTGAGAACAGGGTTTCAATCAATACAATATCTCTTATCATTTATTGCGTTTTTTTTTTCATCGGCCTTTGCATTGTCATTTGAACATGTCACAGTACAGATACACTGCCTTTAAACAATTTGAGGTCTAAAAACTATCCAACTCCCAGAAACACAGATTTATTTTTCATTAGATATTCAAAGCACAGATATGTGTCTGGCTTATGTATGTGCACTTTTCCAAGCATTTTTGTCCTGAGTTGTTGTTAGGAATTTACTTTATTAGCGCGACTGGGTTTCAGGAATGGCTTATTTAAGGAGTGGCTACTGCCTTGCACCCTGAGCTTCAGAGATAACTTGCCACTAACCTCTTCACTATAGCCTATCTTCATCGTGTCAAGTTACCTCTGACGAAAATAGTTTGTCCTAGTTTATATAAGCCAATCGAATCCATGTTTCAAAATTTTTCACCAAAGTTTGGTGAAAACGCTGATTGGTTGACCGTCAATCGGCAATCCTCGGCTGATTCCGCAAGCTCCATACTAACAACAAAGTTATTGTCGAGTGCGGAGACATCCGAGTAGTTCCGAGTGCATAACCGTACACAAAGAAAGCATGGCGTCTCCTACGAGTGACTACGTAAAATAATGTGTTAAGTTATCTCTTGATTCTTTGCAAAATATGAGTAGGGACTATATCGGAATTGAAACCAGAGCAGTTGGAGGCCCTGCATCATTATCTACTGAGGGATGATGTATTTTGCGTGCTGCCCACAGGTTACGGCAAGTCCCTGATATTCAGCCTTATCTTTGATTGGTCCGGATTTGAACAAAGCGCGCTTTGACTCGTTCGCGTTCATTGGCTAGATTGTTCAATGAGTCATTGACTGCGGGCTTTAAATTTGATTGGCGGGCGGCGGGGGCTATCGAATGTGGTCAGAGGTAACTTGACACGATGAAGATAGGCTATAGTAAAGAGGTTAGTGTCAAGTTATCTCTGAGAGCTAAGGGTGCTGCCTTGTTGTTGTTGTTGTGTCATAAATATATCTACTCAAAATCTTACACTCTTATACTCTTTATCTAACTCTCTTTATAGTGTAGAGTGATTGGTGCTTTGAACTCTACCCAAAAGTCGTGGTATATAATATTGAAAAGCAAATCAACAATTCAATTAAAAACTAAACAACTACTAGACACCACTCCAGAACACTACCGACATCTTTCAATGCAGGTAATCAATAATTAATCAAGTCGAGGTTTTCAATATGGCTCCAAGCAGCAGGCAGCTTTTCCACGCAGTACTTCTCCTGGGTCTCTGTTCTCTTGCCGTTTTATCATATCTGAACAGTGGATTGCTTTGGCCTAGAAAATCACCACACCTTCGGTCGCGGTACCTAGACACTGCAAGTCAAACCATCGAAGCACAAACGACTTTGGAAGTGGGAAAGATGTCACCGAGAGGTGATAACCATGATAACCACTCCTCAAGAAGTGATGATGAATTGCCTAAAACGACACCATATGACCCGCCAACATATATCTCGTTCTCGCCACCAAAAGGCGTTAAAGCCGAATTATCGGGATCTACGACAAAAGGTGATCATATATCATCGGATTGTCCTGATCTTCCGAAGGTGGCACCAGATATAAAGGAAAACTTCACATGGTGGAACACGGGAGTCAGAGACTTCTTAGTTTTCTCGGCTTTTCTAGATAACAGAACTGTTCTTAGGCACTATCCAATTGTGAGAGTAAATGCCATTTACATTGGATCGTCTGACTATATAAATTATCCCAAATTTTGTCAAGTTTGGTTTCAAGCTAGCGACATGAAAACTGTGTATAATCGCGCTTACCGTATGGATATTGATGAAACTGGCTATCAGGATCAAAAGTAAGTACAGTGTCACCCAATATCTAGCTGTCCAAATAAAACAATCAGAACAATCATAATTTCACTAAATGCTTGAGTTGTACATGTACTGCCACGTTTGCAGAACAAATGTTAGACACGGCATCATATTTGCCGTTACAAATTAATTTGAATTTTAAGTAGAAAGAATGCAGTGCGTGTTAGACCGAGAAATATAAAACAAAATGTGTTTTTTTCTTTATGACTCAGTATAACCTATTCAAAACCAAGGATGATCTTAACAAAAATATCGAGAAAATTGATGTCTATAAACCTGTTTTCGAGTTCTCACTTTTCACTTTTCACGAGTGACGTTCACCTGATTTGATCTCCATCACGATTATCGCTCAAGCAACAAACTCAACAATGTATGGTTTATCATCCTTAAAGTTAATTATTTAAAACAATAACCAGGTCCACTAAATAAAACAGCCAGCAAGTACACTACAAATCCCTGGTAAACTGGAAATAAGCTTTGTTTGGACACATTACGAACAGCCAGAATTCTGTGTTGCGTGTTTTCTTGGTATGAATAGGGCAATGAACGCTTGCGGTAATCTGGGATGGAGGAGACATAAATAAAATTGATTCTTATTCAATTCTACAATCCGGCAAAAATAATCACATTTGTGCGTAAATTCTATTTAATAATCAGCTTTTTGTAATGTACAACTAACAGTTTGAGAAGACAAGCCCCCCCCCCCCCCCCAACTGTTCTTGGACTCCAAAGAAACAAGAACATCGACACATTTTACTTGAAATTATTTTGTTAAACATTTTAGGTGGAAGCCTCTTTTCCTGAACTGTCTCTTGGACACCAAAGAAACAAGGATGCCTTACGCCATATCAGTAGTGGATGGTCGATGCAACCAACCTCGTGGAGCGTTGAAGATAATCGACTCCAGAATAAAACCGAAGAAAGAACCAACATTTGGAGTGTGTATAAAGCCCTTGTATGGCAAATATGACGGGACTGGTCGGGTGGTTGAATTCATGGAGGTTACGAAAATGTTTGGGGCTGATTATTTTATTGCCTACAATTACTCGAGTAACTCCACTACACTGGGGCCAGTATTTAAGAAGTATATCAACGATGGGGTATTGACGATGGTACAATGGGTTCCGCCCATTGAAGTTCTCCGAGTGGTCAACCTAACGTCTGGGTTAAAAGAATACCTGTACTGGGCCCGAGACTTGGGCCAACAAGCAGCGACAAACGACTGCCTCTACCGTCTAATGCAAAACTATTCTCACATTGCAATGGTCGACTACGATGAATTCTTAGTTCCACGCTCAGCAAAAACGTGGCAAGAGCTCTTCAAAACATTACCCAAAAATTACACCATAGGCAGTTACAAGTTTTTGAACAGATTCTATCACTTGCAATGGAAAACGGACCCAGCCAACTTCACCGATCCCAGAATCCACAAGTATCGACCCTCAACTCTTTTAGCTATCACCCCCGAGAAGAAATTTTGGGGACCGGGGCGTCGACCAAAGCAGTTTTCCATGGCTCGTGCGACCTTGGGAGGTACAATTCACCACGGGCTGTTACTGCCAGGTTTTAAAACTTACGTTTTGCAACCGGAAGACGGATACATGCACCATTATCGAGCCGGTGTAGGTCCGGCGGTGCATACTCTTTTCTACAGGCAGATGATGGTGCCTGTGGAAGACCCAGATATGTATTTGTGGAAGTTTAAGGATGAGATTTTGTCAAGAATTGATCATGTTTTTAAAGAAACTCGGGCGCCATTTACTGGTACCATTAAGCGTAGAAGATAACGGTTGCGAATCATGGCATTCTCGTTTGCTGTTTTAACCAAAAACCAAGACCGTGTTTGGCTTTGTTGGCGGTGCACCAGACCAGACAAGAATATATCACTTTTGATTTAATTTGTGAAAAAAAGTGGAAAATGTAATCCTATTACTTCGAACAGACACGCACCAAGGATTGGCCTTGCGTGGCATTTGTAAATGCGGGAATCATTTTATCTCGTGTATAACTGAATAAATAAATACATAAGATTATTTACGAAGCATACAGGGGTAAAATTGCACATCGTTTTATACACATGCATTTGTAATCTTCATTTTAAATTTATTTTTAAAAGTCAACATTCTAAATTAAAAATCGCCGGGCTGATAGTTCAGCTTGCGCTTTTCCAACCGTCCTCAGCTAGGTCTGCTTCTTGCTATTCAATCAATCGATATCAGGAGACTGCAATCAATCAACTCATTGCTTACATGTAGACCGCATACTGTAAACTCAATTCGGTGACTTCACTCAACTGTTGCACCGCCATTTCCTAATTATTTCAGTCTTAGCTTGTGAAAAAGAGGCATGCATAAGAAAAAGGGATTTAGGGCATGATAAAGAACACAATTATTTATTTAGATAATTTTCAGCATGTTTGGAATGAAGAAGCTGCGACATTGGCAATCCAACAATAATGATAGCGAAAAACAAAAATTAAAAAAAAATTCTATCTTTTTGAAATCTTACGACCTTCTAGCACATTTGATATGTTGTATTTGACCCAGTCATACAGTGTATCGATCTACCCCAGTAATTATAAACATCAACATATAAACATAAAATTAGTTAGTGAAGTACTTGTACATGTACCTCTGTAACTTACCTTAACGCCTTTCAAGAAGATGGTGTTGTTGTTGGTTAGCCAGGTCAGAGACGAACACGTTTGTTTTCTAAATGCTAAAGCCATACCAACTAATTAGACATGCAATCTTTACTCAACAATTCTCTTATCATAATAATAGGCTAAACGTTTGTAGGTTTATTTGTTTTTAACTTTCCTATGCATCTTCCTTATAATAATACCTCGCACGAAAAATGCATTATGTTCAAGTACGGAAGCGGTTGTAAGTTGGTTCCAAGCAGGTTCCGTATCATTGGTGAAGCATCGTATCATAGTATGTTTTGAGTACATCCAGCAATACGTTAGTATCTTCTAGAAAAACATTTTTGCTTCTATAATATATATGTGATTCAAAATCATGCAGGTACCTTCGACATGTGTAAATATTTTAACTGCCTAAGGACAGAGAAGTATATGCTTATATTAACTGCGCAGTGCTATATACATCTCTGTTCTGCAAGGAAGCACAAACTCATCCAGAGGCGGACCAAGGATTTTGAAGGGGAGGGGGTCCGGTTTATTAGGGATTGACAGGTCTCGGGTTGCTAGACCCTCACCCCCGTGACGTCGGGTTTAGGGCACGCCCGAGAATCCCGGAAAAATGGGTGTTTTGAAGAGCAAATGGCGCCATTTGGTACGGTTAAGAACTATGATTTCAGCAGGAGCGTTTTTTTTAATCAGAAACCGAAGGTGGGGGAGGGGGGTCAGGAACCCCCTGGCACGGCCCCTAAATCCACCACTGAAGTTAGGAAGCACCACCTGGTTTACATGGTTTGAAATATTTTCATAGTATCTGCTTTGAGACTGACTACCTAAATAGGTATTACAGCATTGGTCAAAAAGGTTGTCCCACCCCCATTTCCATGTACTTTTATTTACAAATGATCACCTAACAGCTGTTAATTGTTAGAAATAGTGTTTTTTATTACGTATACCGTGTCTAACATGATTAATGGTTTAAAAAATACAAAATAGTGGTGAAAATATACATATTTTATATCATTTAGTAAAATTTATAAGAGGTACCCCCTCAAATCGACTGTTTCACTGTGACTTCTAAAGATGTAAAGAAATGACTATAAAATTAAAAAGACGCCATCAAATGTCACCATCTTCACACACAATTAGCATTAGGGTGTGCTCATTAAAGATCACGTGCCTAACAGCGTGTGCGTCTACCGCGTACTGCAATTATTTCCTGTAGACGGCGCGACAAGCCTTCAACACGGGTTACAATTCTGTTTTGTGGGATATTGTATTCTTCTTCTCAAACAAGTTGGGGGAGTTGGTCCACGTTTTTATGGGGTTGGTTCTCCTTTGCATTGCACACTCCAATACATGTCACAGTTGATTAGTATGTTTGATATCAGGGCTCAAACATGGTGGTTCCATCCTTTGACCATTATGTTTCTTCAACAAACAGTTGCCAGGCGAGAGGTGTGAGCAAGTGTGCAGTCATTATAAAGCCTGAAGTTAACCCCAAAGTCAGTTCTTGAAGATGGAATGAGATATCAGCTGAGAATGCTACGTTCAGTGATCCCACAGGCACCTGAACCTGGCCATCCATCACTGGAAGGAAGTTGATTTTGATGCAGAATCAAATTATTTCTTGTATCCCATCGATGGTCAAAGAGGGTCCATAGACATGTTAAAAAATGCCTCTTGGAAGGGTGTGTGCAGGATAATATCGCCTGAGGTGTTAGATCAATCCGCATTTGGAGAACATTCCAAGCCCATGGTATTAGTACATTGTTCCTTTTGGAACAAAACGTAACAGGGGCATTTTGATGTAACATTCTCAACAGAAATCTCATTCCATTTGCAAGAGGTGACTTCAGGGATACTACTGGCTTCATTGTGACGACGCACTTGCTCACAGCTCTCGTCTGGCAAACGATTTGTTGCAGAAACACAGGGCTCTGAGGATGGGACAACCGTCTTTGAGTCCTGATATTAATCCTACTGAGCACCTGTGGCATAAATTGGAATGTGCATTGCAGAGGAGAACCAATTCCTAAATAATCTTGACCAATTCCGCCACGCTCTTTAGGATGAATGGGACAATATCCCACATAACAGAATTGTTACCCATGTTGAAGGCTTGTCGCGCCGTCTACAGGAGATAATTGCAGTACGCGGTAGACGCACACGCTGTTAGGCACGTGATCTTTAACGAGCACACCCTAATGCTAATTGTGTGTGAATTTGGTGACATTTGATGGCACCTTTTCAATTTTATAGACATTTCTTTACATCTGTAGAAGTAACAGTGAAACAGTCGATTTGAGGGGGTACCTCTTATAAATTTTACTAAATGGTATAAAATATGTATATTTTCACCACTATTTTGTATTTTTTTAACCATTAATCATGTTAGACACGGTATCCGTGATAAAAAGNCAGCAAGGGGTGATTGCAATCAATCGAATCAATGCTTGTGATGTAAAGCCAGTGAAGCAATCAGCACTGGCATCACAAATTCTTAATTATTTCAGAACCCATCTGATGCACGAGTACGTATAACCTCAAACTGTACTCTTTTTTATTACTTTGTAGAAGTAACCCCACGACATTGATCATTTTGCAAACTAAGACACTGGGACGACTGGAAATGAATGAATTAAAATTTACTGGCACTTGGTAGTAGTTAAGATCTCCTACCGGAACACGATTGTCTAAAGCTTGAGGCCCAATCTGAACTTTTTCTGGTCACACAACAACCGGAGAGAGAGAGAGAGAGAAAATGAGAGAGAGAGAGAGAGAGAGAGAGAGAGAGAGAGAGGACAGAAGATTACCTGGATACCACATTGTATATCCTAATTGCTTTTTGTTTGCGATCCATTCCCATCTCCCTTCAGTGTCAAGGTCATTTCCACCTGTCCACCATCCCGCTACTCTGGACACTAATATCGAATAGATATAAAAAGAGAACGCATTTAACTTTAAATAACGTTTAAATTCTCAAAATGTTTACAACAGAATGCGATAAAATTTCATTAAGCATTGCTGCACGTTTATTTCAGTGGAAAAAATATTTCAAACCGAATGCCAACATCATATGCAGGTTTTACGTGTAATCTCTTCGACGGGGAGGGATTTTCGTATAAATGCTTACTTTTCTCCGTACCTTTCATTAATAACAAATATCCCGACCTCTACCACGAAAACAACATTGGTTTTCTTACATTACATTAGACTGAAAACTTGTGCAGTGATCTCTTTGCTTTTTTAACAGTATTTCAACACACCACTATGACCTACCCCTCATACACTGTGACTTCAGAAACTGATATTCATCACTGGAATCAATCGATACTAGATCTGCGCCCATTCTCTGACATGTGGCCCTACTGTCTTGCCAGGAGAGGCTTGATTTAGCTTTATCTGCTTGTGTGAAGTAGTAGCAAGACGCCCCCTTCCGCACAAATCCACCCGGACATCCAGCAGTTGTAGGTGGTGCAGTGCTGGTTGTTGTTGTTGACATTGTGGTAGTTGTGCTTGGAGTAGTTGTGGTAGTTGTGCTTGGCGTGATTGTGGTAGTTGTGCTTGGCGTAGATGTGGTGGTTGTAGGTGTAACGGTTGTTGCTTTAGCAAGTTCTGAAAAGCATTAAATGTACCTCAATCAAGCAATTAAAATAATCATAAATTGTTGAAAAGCAAAAGTTATGATTTCACGTTACTTTGCTCGCCAAATTAATGAACAAAATCAACTGTTTAAGTTTTACCTTTGTCTGTGTCGAAGATGAAATGATCGAAATATAACAAAATATTAACCGGCGGCTTATATAGTAAATTATTTTCCAATCAGATCTAACTACCACTAAAACCAAAGATGGCAATAAATGAACAGCAGAGCAAGCAAACAAAAGAGACGGTTTTCGCTAAGACGGAACGCTATGGAGCGGACAAACACTTACGCCATTGAGCCTGTAGGATTGCAAGCTGAGAAGACAAAGTCTTCACAAGTTTATCGGTGTTAGCTTGTTGGTTTCTCAGCTCGGTTATCATAAGCTCTTGAGCGTCGAGCTTATTTCTAAACACCTCTCTCTGTTGCTTGTCCAGTTCGTCGACTTTCAATTGCAGAACGCTCAAGGTGCCCAGAACGTCACTGCAACACCCGGACCCAGCACTACTGGCATCTGAAATAAAGAACGCAAATGCAATAACAAAATATAAAAATGAATAAATAACAACAACAACAACAACAATGATAATTATATTAATAATAATAACAATACGATGAAATATGAAAAGAAAGATAAGTAGGCCTATAGTTTTACAATGAGTTTTCTAGAGTGCTTGTTTCAAGGGTTTGGAACCAAAGTCTGGCATTTGACAAACAATGTACCAATCGATTTTAATGCACTGTATATAACTCTTACAGTATACCCCGGTACTTATGTTGATTCCTGGTTTTATAGCATACGCCTGTTTTTCGAGAGGACACACGTTCATTTTGCAAATAATATTTCATATTTTGGATAACATATCAAAACATAAAACGTCACCTTTGTTGCCAATAGACGTGTAGATGTTCTGTAGATGGGCGGTGAGGCTTGAGATAAGGTCGCGCGTCTCCTGGACCACGCTGTCACTTGAATTCGAGCACTTCCCTTGTTCATGTGACAACAAGACGTTGTAGCGACATTCACCGCTGTCGAAGCTACATCCTGTGCTGGCACTTGACGCCGCCACCACTGCCGCTATTGAGATGCTTACACAAACCAGGACAAATCTGCTAGCTGCCCCGAGCCCCATTTTATTTTAACTGACTAGGCACTGTGTATAGTGTGCCAAATTCTACGCAACATTCAACGGGGATGGGCTAAATAACCTAATCTGATAAGCCCTAGATGGAGATCACAGATGTTTTTTCTCACAACGTGACTTCGTTAGATTCCTCGCAGTCACGTGTCGACATTGGAAGAGAGCCCGTTGCACTGTTTACGTGTAGGCCCTATGTCATTACAAGACAAGTCTTGAATTTGTTTCAAACTTAAACTTTATTCATTTATGTGGATTCTGTGAATTTATCGTAACTGCATGAGATCAAATACATGATTTAAAATTTAGAACAATTTTCAGACTTAAAGAGAAATATAACGTACAACTGGATCTCCATACGAGATTCAAAATTCAACAATAGGCCCCCTATACAGTAAAAATTAGGTGTTGGTTCACTAGAAGACGTAGGCCTAAGCAGCTGCTCGAGAGTTATTAAAAATATAGGTAACGTACTGTACGTAGCCCTATGAATCAACTCGAACTCGAACTATAGGCTTATCAATCTCTGTATGGAAATGTAACAGAGAAGAATGTGTTACGTAGAAACAGGCGTGGGCACATGCATGATGTCGCAAGCAATCACTTTGCCCCGGCGGACAACAAACAACGAAAACAACAACAACAATCTACAGGCAACCTGGTAACGTACAGTATGTATCTGTACACATAACGCATGTATCATGTGAATGATTTCCACTATGTGTTTGGAAAAAAAAAAAAAAAAAAAAAAAAAAAAAAAAAAAAAAAAAAAACTTCCCTCTTATGTCCCGTTTAGAACTATATTGTGACTGCATGTAGGCCTACAGTACAGTAAAAATTAGAAATGTTTGCTCACTGGAAGTTGTACGCAACTGACCGTTATTAAAAAATATGGGTAGCGTATGTATCGAGGGATATCAAACTCCGGTTGGAAGTGCAACAAAATGTGCGACGTACAAACATACGTGCGCGCATGTATGACGTCGCCTGTATGCCTACTCACATAGTTGCGCCGACAGACAACAAATAAAACAAGGAAAACAACAACAGCAGTCTACACGTAATTTGTTAACTTATCGGTAACGTATTTGGTACAATGTATAGATTTTACATGCTTTCGGCTTGCTGCCTACTTCAGGGAATAAAAAAAAAATAATAATAAAGCAAATTCTTAAATTACGTTTGCGCATACATGTACGACATCGCACGCACTTACAAGTGTTGCACCAACGGACAGGCACTGAAAACAAAAAATCTACACGCAGTTTGGTAACGTTTGTATCAGTAACTTATGTATCGTGTGAATAATTTTTACAACTCGTTTGAAGACAACTTCCTTATATATAACAATAAAAATGTGAAATTGACCTATATATTGAGAATCAGTAGGCCACTATTACACTAACATTGTAAACATTTCCATGTTCGGTGCTGCTTTTTGCTGTGCAACTTTGCCGTAAGTATCGCCATCTAGCGGTGACCGCAGTAATAGGTTATCACTTCCGCTCCGCCACATGTAAACAGCGACAGCGAAGTGTCACGAGTTCAAGTCGTTGATAAGTCATCGCCGCAGATAAATGTTTGCACAGTATCGAGGATAACAAAGGGAACATGAAGTACAGTTAAGGATATGCTAGGATAAGGTGAGTACGTTTTTGTGGATTTTCTTTTTATTGCTGAGCCAAAATTCAAGGGCGAAAAGGGGGGGGGGGGGCTTGCAAATTTTTCATGTATCATGGTTGATAAACATTAAATGTAATGCTTTGAATATACTTAAGTAAATATATATAAATAACACAATACTTCTTAAAACTGGATATTTTAACACTAGGGGGATACATGTTGGGTGAAGGTATAAAGTTATAAACTTTCTTTAATATACATGTAAAGTGCACATGCATGCGTGCACAATTACATGCACAAGCTAGTACATGTACAGTTACATGTACATGTACATCCAGTGCGTACAATGACTGCATGACCTGGCATAAGATCAGATACCCACATTAAATATACAGTACATTGACCAGTTTGTAGACCCAGAGCTCGGCTGCCCCCAACAAATCATGCAGTCACTCAAACTTGGTTGTCTTAATTTTATCATTTTTTTTTTTTACATAATTAAAAGATTGAAACGTTTTAAAGTTACATTAGCCACAGCCACTGTTGAAGACAACAATTAAGGTTTCCAAAGGGAAAAAAATGTGCATGTTCTGTATAAATGGATTCAGATGATTATGATTCACTAGTGATTATTTTAGTGAACTGGGTTTTGACTCACAGTTAAGAGGGGGGTGGGGGGGGGGGAAGTACTAATTAACTCTCTTACATAATTAACAACATATGAGAAAGCAGGTTTGTTTAAAAATCAGGCTGATTGAATTTTTTTGTCATTATCATTTATTGAAATGTTGATGTTTTGCATTTATGCATGTTCAAAAGGAGCAAAGATATTGACTTTCTTTTTTTTTGTCACTGTAAGCATTGTGATTAACAGTTTGATTACAACAGTGACACAATCTTCTCAAGGGGAATATAAATTTTACAGAAACTGTATTTTGTAAGTCATACATGTAGTTCTTAATATTAGAACATCCCCATTGAAAATCAGGCTGCCCTATAGTTTACTTCTATGCAGTAAAAGCGCCATAAATGCTACTTAAAAATATAATATATGATTCTAAAATTATGTAACTGAAAGATTGATAATTTTTGCCCATTGAACCGATTGAATCATTACCATATTTCAGATCATTCTCCTCCTTTGACCACTCACATAATACCCCCCCTTCCTTCTCTCCACCCCCCCCCCCCTATGCACCACCACCACCTCTTCTAAAATCTCAATAGTGTAACATCTTGAAAGTGATTAGTATTATTTTCAAAAAACTTGTGGAATATCATATGGTTAACGTAATTCCTCAATCTTTTTCTCATCTTTTCTATATTTTTAATCTCTACCCAAATGGAATTTTTCCAAATTCAAAAGATTTGATAAATTAAAATTTATGCACATTTCTAATGTTTAAAAAAAGATCTATGTTCAATATGGGCTGACTTGCTAGGATGATTGTTAAATTCTGGAACACTGGTGCAACTGTAGCTGTCTACGATAAGAATCTTCATGCTGTACAGTATGCATGTACTGTACTGGGTATAACTGTATGTTATATGGGGTAACTCTATATCAAACATACTGCCGACTGACATTACTTAAGCCACAGATAATGATATAATGATATTGATAGCTGCATTGAGTTTATCAGGATATAGATTGTAATGTGTGTTTACCAGGGTAGTAGGTATTGTCTCAGTGGCAAATTGTCCTTATGAACAAATTGTTATAATGTTCATGTGTTCTGAATAGTATACTGTCTAGTACATGTACAAATATTATTTTGATAAGGACAGGATATGATTAGGGACAAAAGCAACATGTGAAAGTGGCTAGAAGGAAGTGAATTTAATAATTTTGAACCCTAGAGTGAATTTTTAAGGCAGACACTTTTGTGGTTCCTATGTACACTAACACCCCATTTCCATAGATTTTTAGATCGATCTATCCCTGTGGGGAGTTTCACTAGATTACTGTCAGCTTGGCCGGCTTAAGCGTCTGTCCCGCCTACTAAAAGCTGTAAGGGGGTAATTAACTATGGCACCCGCTCAGCTGACTGCAATTTAGTGTGAACCCCAAGGGAGTTAAGTCGATCTAAAACTTAATCTTTAGATCGATCTAAATCTCTGGGAAAGCACCCTTAAAGTACTAGTATTTTTTTTTTTGAGATTTTTTTTCCAATTGCAATATGTATTATTGAAAACATTAAAAAACTAACAAGAAAACTGATAACAAATAATTTTATAAGAACAAACTTATAAGAAATTAGAAGCAAGAAAAAATATATAAATTTTAGCATTAAATCAGACTATGCCTCAGACGTAAGTTGCTGCGTTTATTAAGTCTGTTTTGTCTTGGCTGTATGATGATTCATAGTCATGCAAAAACAAGATATGAAGTTTAACATGAAAATTCTCAGACACAAGCCTAAAATTTTCCGTACCGTTAGCTTACAGCCAAGCTAACAGTACGGAAAATTGTACTAGTAGGCTTGTGTCTGAGAATTTTCATGTTTATCCAACTACCAAGCTAATGAACATTTTTGCTCAAGATATGAAGTTATACATAACATCTTGCATTTGCTTGTTATCTTATTTGTGTGCTCTAGTCACACATTTAGGTTTGTGACCACATATTGGATCTCAAAGCCAAAAACTTAGTAATAACACCAGTGTTTTTATTTATTTTATGATGTATGCACAATGTTATTTATAAATACATATTCATCTGAAAAGGCTGCGTTTATTGATATGTGATACAAGCTGTTTTGAAATGAAATACTAGTATATAGCTTGCAATGCCTTTGGTACTTCAGTTCATTTGTCTTTTAAATTAATTTTTAAGATGTTTAATTTTTGAATTTGCTCATGTTAAAACAAAAATTGCAGTGCAAAATATGGGGTTTTTTACCTTTAATTACTATTTCAGTACTTAAACTTTCATTTAATATATATCTATGTCCTTATATATATAATTCTTGTCTCTAAACTTTAATAGATTTTATATGTTACAAAATTCTTCTGATCATTTTATGGATTTTAGATTAAAAAAAACAACAACTTATTATTATTATTATTATTATCATTATAAATTTTTTCCTGTCAAGATAAGCCAGGGCGATGTCGTCATTGAGGGACAGGGTGCCCCTAGTGTCAGAGCCTGTGAATAGCGCAGACAGTGAACCAAGGCGAGGGTTTGAAATCGCACCTGGTCAAGTCACAATACCTGAGACACAGAGTGATTTTGATGGGAGCGAGGTGAGTTCAATATCCTCAAAGGAAAAGCTGGTGAATTGTTGTCAGGATTTTGGGCTTTTTTTAGTTTCACATCTTTATTCAATTAATTTTTTACAAGTAACGTTTTTTTTGGCATTTTCTATTTGAAATTGTGATTATAATGTCTGCAGATATAAATATTTTGACTTGAAAAACTTACATTTCAGCATATTAAGATATTCAGTTTGATTATATACTTAAAAACTTTATTCTGCAAAATGGCAAGTGCAAAAAGGGTGCTTATTCAAATTGTTGAGATCTTTCTGAAACAGTGAATGTTACTGGAAGCTATGAAGAGTTATCAGAAAAGAAGTCTTTTAAAATTCTCATTGGACTAAATACTGAATACTATACATATTTTCAGGATTAAATCTTGGCAGTATTTAGGGTTGTTTTCTTGTTTTAAGTTCATCTTAAACATGGAGCTATAATGATAATATTTTGTTTTATTTACAGGGTATCAAGTTCAGTTTCCGTAAGCTATGGGCATTCACTGGCCCTGGTTTTCTTATGAGTATAGCTTACCTGGACCCTGGCAATATAGAGTCTGACCTGCAGTCTGGGGCCATTGCCAAATACAAGGTACAGTATATACATGTGCTTGCAGGTAGATTCTATGCCCTTTCAAACAATGCAGTGCACTTTTATTTCACATCCTAAGCTTATGAGAGATTGACTACTTTAAAAATAGCCCAGCTTTTAGTAATAATTATGTACATGTAGGAGAGTCACTGAAAAGGAGCTATGCACTTGACTTGACAGTTAAATGGATTCATTTTGATTGGCTCAAACAGTTGGACCCCCCCCCCCCCCCCCAATGTTAAGAACAGTCAAAAGGGTGTGAAACCATTGAGTGTAACACTAAATGCAAAAAATGACATGAATTAAATTTTCTGGGTATGAGATGTTTTGTAGGAGATAAAATGTCTATCAGGTTGGTTTGTTCTTCAACTTCATAACTGCTTTTTATGTTCAAGCACATGCAAAAATGTTCATTGGCTATAAATATTTCATAATCATTTACTGAATTGATTGATTTTACTTTTGATAAAAATTCAAAAAATAACGAGGAAGTCAAAATTGGGCAAATATTACACAAAATGTGTGCCTAACTGACGTGGCTCAAATGTTTTCTGTGTTTTTATAAAATGACCCCAGTTTGATGTCCCCATTCCAGCTCCTGTGGGTTTTGATGTGGTCCACAGTGCTGGGACTGGTTCTTCAGCTCCTGGCAGCAAGACTGGGCTGTGTCACAGGTAGTTCTCAAATAATAATGCCTAAAAACAAAGAATCATATTTACTTTTAAAAAAATGTATTAATTCATTGTATCTTTTAAATTTTATTTTGTGTTCAGGAAAATGTTACTCGGGTATTTTACACAGAGTGTAAAATCTATTTATTTATTTATTGTTCATTTTGCCAGGCAAAATCTACTTATTTATTATTTATTTATTTATTTTCACAGGTAAAAATCTTGCTCAGATATGCCGTGAGGAGTACCCGACTGCTCCTAGAATAGTGTTATGGCTGATGATGGAACTTGCTATCATAGGAAGTGATATCCAGGAGGTGGTTGGGTCTGCCATTGCCATCAATTTACTGTCTAATAATTTGTAAGTATACAGGCTGTATCAAAAATTATTTAGTTCTCTGGCCCTCCTGACCACAATTCCTGAAACACAGAGCTAATTTTTTAAAAACGTAAAAAGTAAGATTTTATTTTATGTTATTAGTAAATTCTTAATTTAGTGTAGAATCAAAAAATAAAGAGAATCTAAATATTGTGATACAAACTTTAAGATGATTATAGCCATTGTTACTTATTGTATTTACTGTCATTGTCTTTGTTTCCATTTTAACAGAATTCCAATCTGGGCAGGAGTACTTATAACTGGCATAGACACCTTTACCTTTCTGTTCCTGGAGTCAGCGGGACTGAGGAAGTTAGAGCTGTTGTTTGGTTTTCTTATCACAATAATGGCTGTCTGTTTCATGTATATGGTAAGAGGTGTTGGCTTCAAAGTAGGGTACATGTACATTATCATTTTAAACCTTGTACCAGTAAAACTGGTGTGCCTTCATAACCCATAGTTTTATTGTCCCAGTTTAGTTGGTTTACAAAGCTGTTGTACCAGAAATTATTTACAGATTTTTTTAGGTGATGTAAATATATTGTAAGTTTTATATTAATTGTATAATTTATTATTTGTACTGACTGTTCATTTGAATCTTTGGGGAAATTTGATTTTTGAAAAGTATTATAAATACCCCATTTGATTCTATTTCATATGGTGGCAGAAATAACCATGTGTAAGAATGTTATAAACTGTAAATGTGAATTTGAAATCATACATCATTTTGTGCACTTTATAATATTAATCTTGCTTCATTTCAATTGAGATTTGAAAATTCTTTTGTCAATAGCTTAAGAAATAAACCAATACTTTATCAGCCAATATTTCATCTGCTTACAGTGAGACTTCATCATGGAATGGGTCTATGGTAAATGTGACAACCTACCGGTATCACCCCACCCCCTCAATTGTGCTCATCCAAATATTCGACATTGCATTTTACTTGATTTCAGTGTTATATATTTCATATGTTTAACTTATAATAAATATGAAAATAATATGTTCCAGTATATAGCAGTGAAGCCTGACCAAGGAGACATATTGATAGGACTGTGGTTTCCTTGGTGTCAAGACTGTAAGAAAGATGCCATAGAACAACTAGTGGGAATAGTGGGTGCTGTCATCATGCCTCATAATATCTATCTACATAGTGCCTTAGTACTGGTAAGTTATACATAGCAGAAGCTATTGTCATGCCTCATAATTATGCCTATCTTGCCTTAGTAGTGGTAAGTCATACATGTATTGTAGCACTGGTTGTTGTACAGAAGGTTTTATTTCACATTATTCTTTGGGATACCCTTTCTGTTTTCTACACACACGCACACACACACACACACACACACACACACACACACACTAAATGCTGTTTCAAGAAACAAGGTGTATAAGTATTTAGTGTTTGATCATATATTCATGCATATTTAAACAATATGTATATTATTTTTTCCAGTCACGTGTTCTTGAGCGAACAAGCACAAGAAAAGTTGAAGAGGCTAACATGTATTACTCCATAGAGTCAGGTAAAAATAAGAACCATGTGCATACTGTATTTATTTAAATGTATATGGTAAACCAAATTTGTATGAAACTGCTCAAGTCAAGTGGTTTGTTATTTAGTGGTCAATGGATTTACACTTGTAACAGTGTAAAATGAAAGAAAAAGATGTGTATATTCATTCCATGTGTTATATTTTATAATTGTGTATTTACAGCAAAATTCAGTAAATTTGCATTTGAATTTAAACAAGTTAAACTATATTCATATTGAGAAAAAGATGAATGCTTCCTTTATAGACAAACATGTTTTTTACCTAATAGTATGAGACAAAATTTTTTGACCCTTCATCAAAGAGCTTGATAACATAACTCATCAAAATGTAACATGCCTCATAAAAGCATGTTAACGTTCTTCAGGGATGATTTCCTTTTTAACCATTGTTAGGCAATAGCAGTGAAATTCCTTTATCACCAAGCTCTGTTTTTGAAATAGCAGTCAAGTGCACTGTAGCTATTTACCTATACATATACATGTACGATTTATGTATTTTTTTTACATTTCAGCTATTGCCCTTTTTGTTTCCTTCCTAATTAACTTATTCGTAGTGGCAGTCTTTGCCAAAGCATTCTCAGAGGGGTCTGGATTCACCCCAGATGAGGCCAGTTTACAAACTGCTGTAAGTATGGTCAGAAACATTTAAAACTTCTTATATATTAGCCTTGTTTTACAGTTACAAACGTCTGCATTTTCAAATCTCTAATGAGTATGGACAGAAATTTGAAAATGATGAAAATATCCTGGGTTGGCTTTGAAACTCAAAAAAAAAAAAGAAGCTAAATACAGGAGTAACTCCTGTTATAAAAGGCTCACAGTGCAAGACTTGATCTAATAATGTAGATGTATTGTAAAAGATTTTCATTATTTTTTGACTTCACTTTATTGTTCTGTCATTGTGATTTTGCAGCATTTTTTTCTGTACTGGCCATTTTGATTCCTATTCAATACAGGATTCTTTGTTTTTATTTTTTTTATCTGTTTCTCATTCCTTGTCACTTCTGATATGTACTCTCTCATTTCAGGGTGTATGGATTTTTCGAAAGTTTGGTTTGCCCATGAAAATTATTTGGGGTATAGGGATCCTCTCTGCTGGTCAGAGCTCCACTATGACTGTGAGTACGGAATGTGTGAAGTTTGTCTTGTTTAAAGATGCTCATTTGCGGAACACATTTGCATGTAATTTATTATGATGATCCATTCATTATTGGATTGCTGCCACAGACCTATATTATGCTTTATCAGTTAAAACCATTAATTTATAAGCTTGAAGGTTTTTTTTTTCATTTGTTTATTGCTTCAATCTGGGCTTTCTCAGAATTTTAAATTACATATATTTTTTTATTTCAGGGAACCTATGCTGGTCAGTTTGTTATGGAGGTGAGTGATACATGTACACTCCTAGGATAGACTCATGTAAACTTTGATTTAATGAGAAAAATGTTAGATTACTATAGTACCTCATCAACTCATTAAAAATTTTAGAAGTGATTTAGTAACATTTGCTATGAATTACTTATTACTCACTGCAAAATCAAGTATGTATTGATACATTTAATTGTCACTTATTTAATGTAAATTGAAATTAAAAAAATGGCATGTTACTTTAGAATGTATTTTAAAATATTACTGGTTGGACCTAACAGAGATATGGGAATAGTAGTTATAATGATAGCAATGTTAATTATGAATCTCTTGTATCAGTGTAATCCAAATTTCTGTTTTTTTTTTCTTTCATTTTGTTTTTGTAAGATATTTACTTTTTTACTGTTTGAAAAGTAACTTAATCTCTAAGTGTATCATGTTTGGTGTTTCTCTTTATTTTATATTTCTCCTTGAAGGGTTTTCTCAATATCCATTGGGCAAAATGGAAGAGGGTTCTACTGACTCGATCCATCGCTATTGTGCCAACCATTATTGTAGCCCTGACGGCTCATCAAGACATTGACTTCTTAAACAGCTGGCTAAATGTCCTGCAGAGTGTGCAGTTGCCCTTTGCGTTGCTTCCAATACTCCACTTTACCAACAGTGAGAGAGTCATGGGAAAGTTTAAGAATGGAAAGTAAGCGACTGCCACATACACTGTAACTGAAAATGAAGTTAATGATTATTTTGAATAAGTTTTTTTCTTTTCATATGTTAAAAGATCTATATCTTTTGTTTTTTAACATTTATAATAAGATGTTGTGGATTTGAATTAAAGGAAGTACTTGCAGTTGAAGTTAAGCAAATCTTCTTCTTTTAATTCTGCCTGCTTATTGAAATGTAGTACTTCTTTTTTTACTAATTAAGTGTATAAGTATATTATAGCATGTACAGATTATTGGAATACTTGATTTGTACTGCGTGGTTATATAACAAAGTGTATAACCAGCTTAACAGTTAGGTAAAATACTTGCCACAGTGTGTTTTCCCCCCTTAAGATGTACATGTAACTGTGTGTATTTCAGGGTAATGCAGTTGGTGGTATGGCTACTGGCAGCCCTAGTTATGGGAGTCAATTTTTACCTGGCATACCTTTATTTGGTAAGAAATGTACTGGGCTACATCAGGGTCTTGTATCACAATTAGTAGACTTTATTAGTTAAGTCAGTTTTTGGACTAAAACATCATACTGCTAGTAGCCTACTAAGGACTAAAACATCATACTGCTAGTAGCCTACTAAGACGTAGCTGACTAAAGTGTGTAAAACAAAAAGTCTAAAAGATGGCTCAGTTTAGTTTGGTCCTTTAACTAAACATCTTAATTGGCATACATACATCTGAGGCTCACTGAAACATTATTGTTGTTTATTTATTTCTTTCTTTTATATTTTAGTTTGATTCTGGTCAGCAAGCTTGGCTGATGGTGATCATTGCTCTGGTTATAGTGATCTACCTCATGTTTGTGGTCTATTTGGTAAGTAGTGGTATTAACATGGTGCCTCCAAACTCACTCACGACTCAACCAATTATAATGACTGATGAATTTTTAAATGGTTTTATTATCTTTCTATTTTCAAAGTTGAACATAAAGGGATTTATATATATATATATATATATATATATATATATATATATATATATATATATATTTTTTTTTCTATATATCTTTAATATTTCAAACTAAATTTTTTCTACTTTAAAGGCAATTGGGCTGAGGAACATTACACTTCTCAAGGTAAGTAGTTAACTCTCAGGTAGGAAATTGATAATAATAGCATTAAATTATTGAAAAATAGATGTCATTTACTACTGTAGTAAACTGTTTTAAGAGATTAATATGGTATCAAAACAAGGAAGACTAATATAGAGTTAGTAATGGGATACTCAGTAAGTTATTAAATTATTGGTAGTTATAAGTAAAGCCAATTGTGGGTAATTATGCGAAACCGTTTAAGAGCCCAAGATTTTCAAATGTGCTTATTTCTGAGATCCAAGAAATTTTCACTTTGATTGAAGTTGAATATCTCTTCTGTACAGATTTGGTTTGCAAGGAAACGAGGCAGGGAAGTGTTTTACTTGGAAGAGGAACTACGGATTAGGGACAGCTATTGTTACACAGCATTTGGACATGACCGCACAAATTCTGTTCTCTCCCAGCGCGAGGCGCCATTGTCCGGATCTGTCCAAATAAATCAGTCCTCATCACTTCCAGTTGCGGGCGATCTATGATATTTTATCACCATAAACAGTAAATGACGGTCAACTTTAAAAGAAGTACTACTGACAGCATCTGTCAAGATGAACAGTGCTTCCAGTTTTTAATGACAATTATTTGTATTTGAACAGAGTCAATACCTTATCAAATGATGAACAAATAACAACGCTTTAAGTTAAATGCTCATTATTCCAATATTTTTTTCTGAAAGAAGAGCCAGTATCTCCATGAAAGTGAGAAGGGCAACTTTTTTTGTTGTGACCTACTTAATATTTATTTATTTTTGATTTTTTTCATTGGGGTAAGGTTCAGTAAGAATGTTTTTGTTATTCACAGTAACCAAACTTACTGAACAAATACCAGTATACTTGGTGCAATATTTTAGAATACCGTATAACAATTCATATAGAACATCATGTCATGCCAGAGTTAAACATTAATACAATGTACGTATAATCATTGCAAAGAATGCGAAAATCTTTAAGTTAGTAATTTTTCTACACAGTTTTGTACACTTGGGCATTGTCTTTTTTAACATCTACAATGCTTAGAGGGCCAGAATCACAAGGTTTTTAATTTTATCGACCAGAAATCCAACTTTGTTCAGAAGCGTGTTACAGCATGTAACAGTGTTACGGACACTTCACGTTAACATGTATCCTACTTTTTGGACATAATCGTCATATTTTCCAAATGTTATTCGTTAAATTAAAAAATGTAGACAATTGTTTAACACATATTATTAATAAGAGCCTTTTGGTTGCTATGCTTTTAATAAAATTCTTCTTCTTCTTCGTCTCCTTTCTTGTCATTATATATCATACATATATACTGCCAATCAGTGACTTTCGAAATAAAGCACTGTCGACACGGTTTAAATCGTGATATGATGTATATTATCGATGGCGTTTAACCGGACAAATACGCCTCTATTAGAATATTGCTTAAAAAAGACTAAGTTCGAAAGGTGGTTTTACTCACTATTCTCACAGGGTTAAATATTTTGCTGGAAAAAATTTAAAGAAAACTGGTAGAAAAAACGAAAGTTTGTCTCAAAAGTAATATACACACTTTGGGGTGGATCCCGTTTGCCAGTCTCTCATTGGTCGGAATGAATAAAACCCAAAGAACAACGAGAGATTGTGTATTACAGTCTCGTACATGTATAGATCTCGTTTTCCGGAAAAGTGTCCTCCCTGGCGCTTCGTGATGAGGCTGCAAATCAAATTGCAGTCATAAATTTATTTACATGCGAGAAAGCAGAAGAACATAAACCTTGGGAAAACTTTGGCTCTATTCCCATAGATTTTAGATCGATCTATCCCCGCGGGGAGTCTCACTAGATTACTTTCAGATAATCCGACTTAAATGTCCGCCCCGCCTACTACAAGCTTTAAGGGGGTAATTAACTTTCGTGTCCGCCCGGCTAACAGCTATTTAGCGTGAACCCCCAGGGAGTTAGGTCGATCTAAAGTAGGTCGATCTAATCTATGGAAATGGGCTGTTTGAGTCGTGCTTTTATATTTACTGTCTACCACCTTTCTTCATACTGGGCTATGTTTGATGCTATATTTTATTTAAACAACTTTTCAGATAACAAAAGGTCTATTATTACAGTATGAAAATTGGCAAACATTTTATTTCGAAATGAGCGCCAGTCGAGTTTGTTGATCATAGCACCATTTCTATATATAGAATATATCTGCTTTGGTAATGAACACATGGACGCGGTCGTGAATCGCAATGGAGGGCTTTTTTCACACAAAATAAATCCTTATTGTTAGGTTTAACTAGAAAAGTAAATTTATGGTTGGTAAATCAGTGAACATTAAAGGTTTGTTTATAATTTTTTGTTTACTTTTATGAAATCGTAATCGTGCATTTGCCTTGGTTTTGGAAGCTTACGCGGAGCTTATCACCATTTTTATGATTAAAAATACCAAGAAGAGTATAGAAATATGAATTTTAAGTCTTTTAACCAGAAATATATGTCAGAATAATTATTTTTGGTTTTAATTATAAAAATGATTTCTTTGAACCGACCAAATGGGTTTGAGCGGCCAACATGGGACTCAACGCAACGCAGATAAGTTTAAATTCACGTTTTTAAACAAATTATTAGGCCTTCTGTCATCTTTTTGACACGGAAAAGGTATATGTACTACTGTAAAAGTATTTGGTGAATTTCACATGGACGAATTTTATAACTTGCAGCAGCATTCTTTTTTGAAATATAACGCTCGAAATTGAAGTTTCCAATACGAGTAAAACTCGATTGGCGTCAAATTTCCTTAAAATTAAGTTGTAAGTCTGGTGATTACTTTGCCATCTGTGCACGCCTTCCGTTTTTTTTTTTTTTAACAAAAAGATAAATTATAGAATATAATTTTTGTTCAGTTATTATGTACAGTTTTTAAACAGCAACATTCAATTTTAAAAGTACCGAAGTTATCATTAATGAATTATGTAAACGGTAGTGTTATTGAAAGTTTTAAGATTTTCCATTCTTGTCCTTATCATCTCACATCAGAACACAAACAGTTCGATAATGCTTGTCTTGTGGTCGGGAGCTGGTGCCCGATGCTTGCGGGCCGTGGGGAAAAACCCGTCGTAGGGAATGCCGGGAAAGTGCACACACCCGGATATTTCAGTCTTTACAACATGATAACAGTTTTTTTATTGGCACGGCGCCTTACGCTTCAAGAATATCGTCCCGTTTTAGACAACATGATGCGAGTGAATAAAATATTTCTCTCGTGACTACAAACTATTCTCTACTTACACTATACTGGTACACACGATAAAGCACAAAAAATTACTTAAAGTAGTGCCTAATTCCTACAGAAATAGGTAATAAAGCCAATGAAGACACATTTACTACAGTCTTGACGTAATTAAACCGAGACTAATTTTAGCTTTATCTAAGGGGAATGAAGTCATTAAAAAAAAGTGACTCAATCCTTTTACAAGTGAAAGCATCCATCAAAACTTGATTGAAGTTCTATGTAGAAAATACATACAAAGATTCAGGTAATATGATTACAACTCGGGCACCTCAATGATTTGAACTAAACTTTGGCATATAACTCGGTTTAAAATAGAAGTTTCTCAAATGTAATTTTGCCCTGAAGTCACGATCCAAGTAAAGAATAAAGCAAGCCTCACATTACACTGTATATGACCGTCCATGTAAATTTCAATAGGATTTTTTTTTGATTGGATTGGATTGGATATATTTGTCAACTATAACACTAGCTTAAATCGTAATATTTGTAATATTATTAATGTGCGATCCTCTATCTTGAAAGATGACTGTGTGCACCTAGCCATCCCGCACGAGGAGCGGACTTTGTGCAAAAAAAAAAAAAAAAAAAAAAAAAAAAAAAAAAAAAAAAAAAATTACATTGGTCAAAAAGGTTGTCCCACCCCCATTTCCATGTACCTTTATTTACAAATGATCACCTCACAGCTGTAAATTGTTAGATATAGTGCTTTTTATTACAAATACCGTGTTTAGCATGATTAATTGTTAAAAAGAATACAAAATAGTGGTGAAAATATACATATTTTATACCATTTAGAAAAATTTATAAGAGGTACCCCCTCAAATCCACCGTTTCACTGTGACGTCTACAGATGTAAAGAAATGTCTATTAAATTGATAAGACGCCATCAAATGTCACCAAATTCACACACAATTAGCATTAGGGTGTGCTCGTTAAAGATCACGTGCCTTTACATCAATGTTGTTGTATATATATATATATATATATATATATATACTTCAATCAAGTTTTGATGGATGCTTTCACTTGTAAAAGGATTGAGTCACTTTATTTTAATGACTTCATCCCCTTAGATAAAGCTAAAATTAGTCTCGGTTTAATTACGTCAAGACTGTAGTAAATGTGTCTTCATTGGCTGCATTACCTATTTCTGTAGGAATTAGGCCCTACTTTAAGAAATTTTTTGTGCTTTATCGTGTGTACCAGTATAGTGTAATTAGAGAATAGTTTGTAGTCACGAGAGAAATATTTTATTCAGTCGCATCATGTTGTCTAAAACGGGACGATATTCTTGAAGCGTAAGGCGCCGTGCCAATAAAAAAACTGAAGTTATTATGTTGTAAAGACTGAAATATCCGGGTACATGTGCACTTTCCCAGCATTCCCTATGACTGTGTGCACCTAGCCATCCCGCACGAGGAGCAGACTTTGTGCAAAAATATTGTGCAAAAAAAAAAAAAAAAAAAAAAAAAAAAAAATTAT